ATGTTTCTGCCACCTGTACAAGCAGATCTTTATGTGATGTCATGTCAATAACGATTTTATAACATGAGGTATAAAGGATTAGCCACTATCTTATAACCTTCCAATCTAGAAGTTCTTATCTGAATGTCAAATTTTCACTCATGTGGAAACCAGAGCAAAAATATCAGGTTCTGAAAGCAGATACATTATAAAAATTTCTCTGTCATAGAAATGGTGTTTTTATTTCTGATGTGATATAATTTTTGCTGTATTATGTGTCTACTGTATTAATTTTACTGTTATATATTCTTCCAATTTATTCTCAATTTATCTGATGAGATAAATTGGCAGTCTATAGAGTGGAGGAGAGAAAGAGAAAAGGAAGAAAAGCTATATTTATAAAAAAAATGGTTGGTTAAGCACCACTGAGGGGAGCCTTGAGAATTTCCGTTATTCCATGATGACTTTTCCTGTGAGTCAAGAAGTCAGAACAAACCACATTTGCCACCTAGAGCCTTGTGTTTGCTCATCTCCGCTCCTTGAAAGGGGGAGAGTGACGTCACATTTGAAGAGAATGGACCTGATCTTACTGCTCTTTTATTCTTTTCCTTTTTTGGTTTCTGAGCCATACCTGACTGTGCTCAGGGGTTCCTCCTGGCTCTGTACTCAAGGGTCACCCCTGTCAGTACTTGGGGGACCAGCGGGGATGCTGGGGATTGAACTCAGGTCAGCTCATGATTTCTTGTCTCTTAAAGGTAACATTTACTCATCCCTCTGAAGGAGTTTTCAGAACTTACATCTATTATTTGGGAGCATCAAGACAGATTTGTGTCCCATAGTTAAAATCACCCCCTCAATGAAAGGTACTAAGACAACAGGTATGTGAACATTATGAGCACTTCAAAAGAAAGAAGTAACAATGGCTAAAATTTATTTTTTATTTTTTTTATTATTAGTGAAACAATGGCTAAAATTTATACGGAATTTGCTAACTGCTCAGCAACATTTTAGGGGATCCACATATATTGATTCATTAATTCATCTCCAGACACTGTTCTCTGCTTGGTCCAAGATTGAGTCTTGGTTTATAAGATCAGGACCCAGAGAGACTGTGTAATTTGTCTGGAGTGACCACTGGTGAAAGGGAGGACCAGAACCTGCATTCCTGCATCTGGTTCCAGGGTCAGTTGTCTCAATGACCACCTCCTCATGCTTCATTAATGGGGTGATATGATCATCAAGGGGAAAAGTCACTGTCCTGTAACTGTCCTCCCATTGTTCATCAATTTGCTCGAGCAGGCCCAGTAACATCTCCATCGTGAGACTTGTTACTGTATTTGGCATACTGAATACATCATGGGTAGCTTGCCAGGCTTAGCCGTGCGGGTGAGATACTCTTGGTAGCTTGCCAGGCTCTCCGAGAGGGGCAGAAGAATCAAACTCTAGTCGACCAGGTCAGCCGCATGCGAGACAAGTTCTCTACCTACTATGCTATCACTCCAGCCAAATAGTGTGAAAAGAAAAGTTAAAAGAAAAGGAACTTTGCACCTGACTCTTCTATGTAGTATCAGAAAGGCTAGTTAAAATACATTTTATAAAGAGTAAAACCATGCTTGAAGGCTTGTTTATAAAAATAATTTTCTGGGCTCAAATCTTTTTCCAGAAGATCAATGTCTGCATGGTACATTGTGCATAATTTGATTTTCCCAGTTGAACATCTTGACACTATATGAACCATGAATGCATGAAATAGGAATTCCAAATGTCTTCCACATGGGAAGAGGACGTTTGAATACTTGTACAGGAAGCACAGAGAGGTTGGAATTAAGTATGCCTGTGCTCTAGTGACTTAAACTCTGTATGCCCAGGACCTGAGCACTCCTCTCTGACTGGGACCTAGAGGCGACAGAGAGATGAGCCTGCTGTCTGTATTTAGACGCTTCACTCACTTCCTGAGAGCTGAGGAAGGCATTTGGATGCTCATTAAGTTTCCAGCCATTCTCCGAGAGCAACAGGTGGGGAATCAAAGCTGCTCTGGTATGTCATGGCTGGTTTCCTCAAGGGATAGGATAAGACCGATGGCATCTGCACGCTCTCTGGAGAACAGGCAGATAAGAAGGAGATGAATAGCAACAGGAAGTATTTCCAAAGCATAAACAAACACAGGAGCCCAGGAAGATTATGACTAATGTTCAAGCTACCTCACGGTCTATGGATATTCGTCAAATCCACACGTGGCCATTTAATCTTTTAAATATTGCTACTCATTCAGATGACAGTCACAGCTCACTATCTTATGGTTGGTCCCCTAAGAGAAGCAAGGTAGATGAAAAGGACAAAAGTCATCTCAGGGTAATAAAGCTGTGTCACTTACACAGAACTTTTTCTTTCTTTCTTTCTTTCTTTCTTTCTTTCTTTCTTTCTTTCTTTCTTTCTTTCTTTCTTTCTTTTTTGCTTTTTGGGTCACACCCAGCAATGCTCTGGGGTTACTCCTGGCTCTGCACTCAGGAATTGCACTCAGGAATTGCACTCTGCACTCCTGGCAGTACTTGGGGAACCATAAAGGATGCTGAGGATTCAACTCAGGTTGGCCGCATGCAAGGCAAATGCCCTACCCACTGTACTATCACTCCAGTCCCTACACAGAACTTTTAACTCCACACTTACACATCTCCTTTGACAACTAAAATCCATGACTTAAATCATCTCCTTTACAAAATTATTTATAAAGAGCACCTTCTACTGTATGAGGACAGAAAACCACTGACACCTTGAATTCAAGCAAGAAGAAACCTTATTAAATAAAAAATAGACTCTGATTTAAATTATTACCCAAAATTACTTGATAAACATATGGCAAAAAGTGTCCCTAGTCAAAAGTGCTTGTCAGCGGATTGTTTTCTGTCATTCTAAATACCATTCAGAGCCAGGAAAACCAAGGGAAAGAGCTATCCTACCACCTCAAAGCAAGACATCTGGCGAATCCCAAAAGCCCTAGAAAGAAAAGTATTTATTGGAGGTGGCAAATCACCAGCATCCATCCCAGTCTGAAAAGTTCAAAACAGTCATACAGGTCCACATTGCTAAGGACATGGTACGGGAGGGTTTTCCTGGTGGAGGACACACAGGAATAGAAAAGATAACGGTAACAAATACTAGTCCCTGAAATTGCTTTGTGTTCGTTGGTTTTGTAGAGAAAAAGCCCAGTACTTCACCTTTCTAGACTCGCTTCCACGCAGAAGGGACCCAGCACCTGCAGACTGCTCTGAGATCCCTGCACTATGCTGACCTGGCCTGGTGGGGCTCCAAGTCCCCAGCTCCCACAGTGCTCTTCTTGGAAAGGATCATGTGCAGTATACAGAGAAACCCATATGAATAAATGAACTAACTAAAATGATATTAGACTTTGGGACTGTAATACTGATCAGTGGTTATAGAGGAAGGAGTCTTAACATCCCCATAAATCTAACATTCAGGCAGCTGGGTAGTACTGGTGTGTGTGTGTGTGTGTGTGTGTGTGTGTATAAATCAGGACAAACTCACTGGTCTTGATTTAATTGTAATGCCATGACATTTCAACTAAAAAAATTCTCCTTCTCAATGACTCCTCCTTGTTTCTCATGCTACCAGGTTTTTTTGAATTAACACTGAATACAGTTTTCTTATATTGATTAAAATATGATGATCTTCCAATCAGTGATAAATTCTGTAGTGGTTAAACTGAAAAAACTACTAAGAATTATCTAGGATATGAAATCCTATAGTTTAACGGTGATGTTTACCAAATAGCAACTGATAAAGAAATCACTTTGCCTCTCCAGTTACTTACTGTCAGAGTGAACCCAAAAACTCAAATGTCTATTGAAAAGACATATTGAATTAAAAGACCATATCTGCTAATCTGGAAACAAAGGCCATGAACCAAGATTTCTGAGTGTCAGCTCAGAAGACAAAGCTTTCCTGTATGCCCATTTTATCAAATACTTCATAAAATATTCCATATATTACCTTATGATGTCTGTGGGCACAGTAATTTAACATAATCTAATACTATATTTCTCTCATTTTTGCAGGGGTTCTACCCAGCAGCCTACAGGGGACCATGTGATGTCAGAGTTTGAACCGGGATCAGTCATGTGCAAGACAAGCACCTTAACCCCAATACTTATGTGGCCCCTAAAACCATATTTTTCTTATTGCATTTTCAACACAACTTTCGTTAAACAATGTATATACAGCATTTGCATGCCTCACAGGAACACTAATAAAGAATGGTGTAAGGCTCTCTGGAGAACGATTCAAAATCACCTAAGGTGAGAATGATGTCAGGAACGTTTTACTTACATATTTTTACTCTGTCCAGTAGTTCTATAATTAAAAGAAAAACTTTAGAGTACTCCAACAGGGGGAGAAGAAAGACAAACCTGGCCATCTGCCATGTGAATATTTTCAACAATTAAAAAAATAAATGCTTCTTAACATTGTTAGATTGAAAGCAAGGCTTAAAAGTGAAACTTTAAACAAGTGTTTCAAAAAGATATAGGATGCGCATGGAGATAGCATATAGGTCATATATTTATTAACAGGAGTGGTACTTTGCAGTGAGAATTACTGACAGGAAGGGGAAACATTTTTGAGGGATTATTGTAGTGAATGAATCACAAAAACAGCTGCCCGAATGTTAGATTTATGGGGAGGTTAAGACTCCCATTCTAGTCAAAATCAGATAGGATTTAATGAATACAATTTAAATGTGAAGGCAGACATCCTAGATTTTAAAGAGTTCCTGTCACCTTGGATGCAGGAGCATTGATGTTTATGTAAGGGGGACAGCAGTGACAAACCTATCAAGACAAACCTGCTTCTTTTCTCATGAAAAAAATTCTAACTAATGGAGACGGTGGATCCTATGGAAGAACAGCATGGTATTCTTAGTTTTCATTTTCTCCTGTGTGCCTTTGAGTCTTGTGACTCTCACAAACATTACCAGGTGAAGCTGAGACTGTCAGTGTGGTATTTACCTTTATCCCCGGAAGTCCAGGAAGCCCAGGAAGCCCGGGTTCACCCTACACAGGAAAATCACAGCATTATAGAGCGATATTCACCCGTCACATGACCTGGACAAAAATATGGCGCACGGGCCTAGCCGATGGCTTGTGGCACAGACATAAAGACCAGCCAGTTTCATGAAGTTGGATGAGATTGTACAGCTCAGTCAACTCTTGATTCAGGGACCAGTTGACTAGCAGATATTTTGAAAGAATTTTCTTCTTCACAGCTCATTGCTCGCTGGCATCTCTGCCAGAAGGTAAAGACGAGTATGTGGAGAAGAGACTCCTACATTTTTATTACTTTCCTGCAATGCAGATCTTTGCTGAAATAAAAATTATGCAAAAGTTCTGCATAAAGCATCCTCTTCCGATGCTCTCTTACCTCGGACAATCAAGAGTTGGCTGTCTGAACAGATGGCCACAACAAAATAATGTACATGAAAAGTCTTGCTTACTTCAAAGTTTAGTAAAAATTCTTTTCCATTCCTGAATGATGCGGAGATAAATGTGTGGTTAAGATTAAGCTTAACTCCAGCCTGTGCTTCTGACAATTGTTCAGTCTGGGTGACTGGCTTAACGGTCAGGCTAATGGGATGATGCAGCTGTTCCTGAATCCAGGTTTAAGATTAAGGGGTGCGTTTTTGGTGAGCCCACTGGAGTTGAACTCAGGCCTCACATTTCATAGTACTGTCTACTTTATTTTAGGTACAAAGTGCACTGCCAAGGTTGCCTTTACTCCATCAGTTCCTGATTTCCAATAGTGAAGCACAGAGGAATTGTTGGAGAACAGGCAAGTCCATCCTGAGGTGGACCGAGGGGCGTTGTTTGAAGGTGAAAGGCCGTGACGGTGGGCCAGAAGACGTACAGAGCCTTCCAGTCACAGCACATGTGTGAGAGGGCACTTTCTTTCACCTCAATGCTATCACTACCCAGCGCTAAGGAAAATCGACTAGGAAAAGCAGACAGATCAACTTGAATAAGATTACTTGCAGTTCCAAGGATCCATCTGGGGTGATGACAAAATGGCTTCAGATGCTATTTATTAAGTTGTACATGAGACACAGAAAGGGTGATGGCCTTTGTGACATTTAAGGCTAAAGGTGTTTTCAGGAATGCAAAAGAAAACAAGTCTACCTGAAGCCATAAAGAGAGAGTTTGCTTATGCACAGCGAGACTAAAATGAAATTAAGCCAGAAAGGAAAAGATGATTATTTAAAAATTAGGTATTCTATTCAAAGAATATTTCTCAAAGAGGATTAAACTTTACACAGACATGATACATTTGATTATCCATTTTCTTTCCCTTCTGCCCTTAATAGAGAAATTTAAGAAGATCCAGTGAAAAAGGACTTGCAATCATATTTATTCTCTTGTTATTTATTTATTTAGAGAGGATAAAGTCCTCACAAATAGTAAATTGCAGCACAATTGCAGACAACCAATAAAAGTAAACGTATAGGTGATAAATCTACCATTTTGTATAGTTCCAGCAGAATACCTCACTGTGCCCCATTCGTACCTCCCCTCCCCGACTCAGAACATCCTATTTGAAACATATGTGGAAGCAGAGGCCAAACATTGCTTCCCAGCTAGAGGTTCACCACACCCTTCCCTCCCACAAAATTAAAGGGATTGTACACATACTTGAAAGAAAGATATTTATGTACACATGCTCACAGTGACACACGCCCATGGCTTCTAACAATGAGACAGATGTAGGAGACGTTAGGAAATGTTTTGCTGTGGATTGAGTACTCACAGACACTCGGACATGTGGCTGTGCCTGACGTGTATGTACAGAGACGAATATGGTCATACGTGCTTTGGTTTTGTTTCTTTTGGACCTTAACCTGGTGGTACTCAGCTGGCTACTCCCAGCTCTGAGCTCAGGGATCACTTTCAGGAATTCACATTTTAGAGGCTTGGCTTTTGATAAATTTGACCTTTCCGAATTTATAAGCTAGCCTAACGGAAGGTGATAAAATATTTAATTTTACCCTTTGTAGAGAATCTTTGAACATCATCAAGAAAACATTTCTTTCCATCTAAATTCTCTTTCATTAGACCATGCGGACCTTGCTTCCAATTAAGAAAGTTTTTGAGGCCATATCTCTAGTCTTTTTTTCTTTCTTTCTTTCTTTCTTTCTTTCTTTCTTTCTTTCTTTCTTTCCTTCTCCTTCCTTCCTTCCTTCCTTCCTTCCTTCCTTCCTTCCTTCCTTCCTTCCTTCTTCCTTTCTTCCTTCTTTCTTCCTTCCTTTCTTCCTTTCTTTTTCTTTTCTTTTCTTTTTTTTTGGTCAACACCCAGCCATAGTCAGGGTTTAACTCCTTGCAGGGTTAGGTAGAAAAAACTATATATGGTGGGGACCAAGCCCAGACTGGCTGCATGCAAGACCAGCCCTGTAACTCCAGTACTATTTCTCTAGCACCCATGTCATTCTTGCCTGATCCTAGATTCAGGAGCTTCTCAGAGCCGAGTCCTGGGATATAGATGGCTCAAGGTCAAATCTGGATCATAATTAAAAATGGATTTCTTATTCTATTTAAATAACATTTGTCTAAGTAGATAAACTTTATATTGCTGCATTAAACTTTTTATTTTCTTTCCCTTTCATTTTTTGTGGATTTGTTTTTCGGGGTCATACCTGGCAATGCTCAAGGGTTAGTCTTGGTTCTGCATTTAGGAATTACTCCTGAAGGTGCTTGAGGGATCATATGAGATTCCAGGAATTGAACCCAGGTTGGACACATGCAAGGCAAGTGCCTTGACCACTGTACTATTTCTCTAGCCCCAATTCCCTCTCACTCTCTGAGTAAAGTCTGCTGTCAAAGTACCAGCTGTGCCCCATGTCCCTGTGACAGTGGCCTGAACTTTTGGAGAAAGTTCAGTCCAGTGGGGGAATCAAGGCTTTTTGTTGTGGGTTGGTTTGCTTTTGTTTAGGGGCCATACTCAGCAATGCTCAGGGCATACTCATTTTATCACTTACTACTGTTGAGTTTTAACAAGGGAAAAAAAGAAACTCACCATAATTAAATCCTTCCTATATTACAAATGTTATTCCAAGTAGCTACTTTGAAAAACTGGAAAATCCAAGGCAGTGGAAAGCTATCAATGAAAACTTCATTCTCCCACGTGACCCTCTAGTGTCTGCGAAGTTGTGAACATATGAGTTCAACAACCAAGGAACCCACAACACAATTGTGCAAGAATGAGAACAACACTACGGAAGATAATCTGAATTGATTCTGGGCCCAGCTCTGTTTGTTATTTTCTAATCTAAGTAAGCAGCAAGCATGGAAATACTCTACTTTTAAATCAATGTTGGGGTAAGTATTGCCAAATCCAGATATTAGACAAAGGAAGTCATAAATATTGTGAGAAATTGAGGTTACATCAAAGGGTAGAAGCTGGCCTAAATATTAATGAAAAAGATACTACAGGGCACATATTCATTCAGATAGGTTGCAAGCTTTTAATGACCCCGCCCCTTCTCTCAATATAATTTAAAGCAGGTTTCTAGTATAATACAAAGGACATTCAAGTCCCCATATGTAAACCTATAAATTTCAAAAAAAGGACCTAAATTGCATTTATAAATAATCATTTAAGGAAATGCTTTATTATGCATTTGAGAACCAATTTGAATTTTCCACTCTAAACAGTAGAACGTATGTGAGATATAGTTTCCTTCCTTTTCCTCCCTCTCTCCCTCCCTTCCTTCCTGTGCTCAGGGCCCAGGGACTGAACCAGGCCTCTAGCATGCCACACATGTGCTAAGTCAATGCAAGTTTCTAATTCAATGCCATTGCAGATATTTTATTCACTACATCATAGATTTGGAGAACAGCTTAGATATTTGTCTTTGGTTTTTAAGACATAGGGCCCTAAAATTGTACCATCTGAGAAGACAAATTGTTTTAACACATAAAGTAAACCTTGAATTTCTGAGGATGTGATTAACTTTCAATTTCTAATGTATAGAATCTACAGGAAATCAGAGAATTTAATAGCAATGCCTGCGGAATTCTGCTGGGATTTTTGGAAAAGTCTCAATTTTATCTAAAATTGGGTCTGATTCTTGCTTTTAAGAAAAGAATTTTTGTGTAATGCCAGGTTGAATCTCAATGCTTCATACACTCCTACATGCAAGCAAGGCATGTGCTTTACCACCAAGTCACCTTCTTGGTCCCAGAAAAATCCTCTGTGTGTGTGTGTGTGTGTATTTGAAAGAGAGAGAGAGAGAGAGAGAGAGAGAGAGAGAGAGAGAGAGAGAGAAAGAGAGAGACAGAGACAGAGAGAGACAGAGACAGAGAGAGACAGAGAGAGACAGAAAGAAAGGGAAAGAAGGATATGAGTATGTGTGTGTGTATGAGAGAGAGAGAAAGAGAGAGAGAGAGAGAGAGAGAGAGAGAGAGAGAGAGATTGGGCCATACCCAGTTATGCTCAGAGCTTATTCCTGGTTCTGTGCTCAGGAATGACTCTGGGTGATGCTGAGGGAACCAGATGTGTTGCTGAGTTTAGGAAATTCTATTTTTAAATTGGAGAAATGTTAAAGAAACATGAAAAATGTTCTCAAAAATTACTGTAATCCTAGGTGTTTAAAACAAAGGTCTAACCATCTTGTTGATTTCAACCACCACAAGATGTTCTTTTACTATGTCTTAAGATTCCTCAAAGCACTACACTGGGACTAGTCTCTTTCCCTCTAAGCTCATAAGGTGAATTCTCCCTTCCTATTCATATATTTTTCTAAAACACTTTGCCATTTTTGTCTGGCTACTGCTAGAAGGGAGAGTTATCATCTTTAGAGATTTAACCTAATATGAAATTCTTATTTATTTGTTAGTGACACGACATCTGTCACCTAACATCTGGCTACTGGACATTAGTATCAGATGTTCAGAAATAAGCTACTAACTGTGATTCCCTGCTTCAGATTAAAATGAGAATATGAATCTAAACACAGTCACTTTATATCCTTAATTTATCACAGAAGAGAAGCACAGATTATTAAAAAATTAATGTGTGTTATATCTGTATATATAACAGTTTGCTAAAGTGGTCTGGCTATTGTAGCTAATTAAAACTGAATTTGGCGAATCTCTGTCTAATATAAGTTTTGAGTGCAGGGGTAGAAATGACTCACACAAAAATGATGTGGCTCACACAAAATGATGCAATTCACACAAAAATGATGCATGGGGAAGTATCTGCAGTGAAAAGCAAATGAAGGTACTTTCATACTGTCCACCATCCCATTCTGAGCTGGTTTAGTAAATATTTCTTTCTCATGAAAGACAGAAACATGCAGAGAATCTTTATACATGCAAGGTAAACTGTTGGCATTTCAACCCAATGACCCAACAAATCCTTGTTAGTCACAAACGGCCAAGTCCTCATGGGCCAGTTCACAAAACCTCCTTTGACAGAGTATGTTTACACTTGACTGCCGTCATCTCATCAAACTTTTAAAAATGCAAAACTAGAAAACTACATGCAAAGTATGAACTAGCATCTCTCTGCACTTCTGTTCTTACATTACACAGAAGAGGGCTCATGCAAACAGGTGAATGCGACACAGCACAAAGAACATGAAAGGCCGAGATTACCTTTTGCCCTGGCCGACCAGATTCTCCGGGTTCTCCCTGACCAAAAAGAACCAAATAAGAAAGGATGGTCTTCAGAATGCATCAAAGTTTCCTTAATCACATCTGTCCACTCAGTTCTGTTCTTTGACACTCTTTAGACATGACACTTGTCTAAAGCAGCAAATCACTTGTTGCTGTAAATATACCCGAGACTCACATACAAATCTACATTTCTAGACAACCGATCAGAGAGAGAAGACTTCAGGTTTAGACCTTATCAGGTCTCCAAGCAGACACTCTCAGGTTGTTTGGAGTGGTTCATGGAAGAATAGGGACAGAGTCATAAACATCAGTCACAGGTGGTGAAGGGAAGAGAAAGCAGAGATTTTAAAAACCCCCAAAACTCAGTCCTGTTGTGCAGATATTTGCAAGGTGACAGTTACCTTAATTCCTGCGGCAGATGATCCAGGGTCACCCTAAAAATGAAAAACATGAGATTATTCCACAAGTCATGGAAATAGGCATCGTAGGAAACACATAGCTACTTCAGAGCACTGCGTGACTAACGGGTCAAATGTGCTCCTGAAGGCTTCCTCTCAGTACATCAGCTGCTAACATGACAACAGTTTCTAAGACCGACGATGCCTGTCTGGAAAACATGGGTTCTCATTGATGGAGGAGAACAGAAGGATGACATTCCTTAGAAGAACTGTGAAAACACAGGTAAAGAGCTTTCCCCCCGAGACAGTGCATGTGTTGTATTCAGAAGCACTAAATGACATTTTTGAGAACCTGGAATTTGGGTTTTCGTGATTTCTGGAATTCACCAACATTACTGGCTGTCATTTACTGGGACAGGCCTGACCCTTCCCGTCAGGGATCAACAGATGGAGTCAAGGGTTAATGAGGCCGGCCTGGATGGAGCCACGCAGCCAGGCGGCTTGTGGCTCCTCCAAGCCAGCAATGACCCTGTGTTTCCCGCTTCACACGCAGTTCACTGTGACACAGGGTCCGGACCGTCTCAGGGTGACAGATGCTGTGGGAGGGGACAGGGGCACAGGGTGGGTCTGAGTCTGCTTTCCTGCCGGGCACCAGACCCAACTTTTACTGTGAGAGCGGGGGGGGGGGAGGGGGTGGTGCTTGGCGGGGGGAACCCTGTGGAAGGTGCTAGAATGCATTCTGCTGATCTCTGCAGTGACCAGCCCAGGGCTAAGATGCTCGCGGTCTTTTCAGACCCATAAATAGGCCACAGGAGACACAAGGGGCGAAGACCACCAGGAAACGAGTCCCCCTCTGAAGGAGGGATCGCCTGTTGGGGTCACCTTGGCCCCGTCAGAGTGTGGGCTCCTGTGAGCTGGATCTGGACGGAAAAGTCTTCTGGAGACTGAGATAGGCCTCAGGCTTCTGGACCTGGAACACTTGGGAATTTTTTTTTCAATTTGGGGGCCACAGTGGCTTATCCTAGCTCAGTGCTCACTCAGGGGCTTATCCTGGCTCAGTGCTTACTCAGAGGCTTATCCTGGCCCAGTGCTTACTCCTGGCAGTGCTCGGATCTTAAACCCAGGACTTCTGCATGCAAAATATGCTCCAGCCCTTGGAGCCATCTCCCAGATGCTAGCCTGCAACACTTCCCTCCCTCCCTCATGTCTTCTCTACTTCTGGCCCTTGGTTTTTATTTGGCTCTGCTTTGACACTCAGAGAATCATCACCATCAACCCAGACACACTTCCACCCCCACACTCACTTTTCCTCTGGTTTTTTTTCCTTTTAAAGCATCAGACAGTGCTCATGGCATACTCCTGATTCTATGCTCAGGGATCACTCCTGGCAGGGCTCTGGGGACCATCTGGGATGCTATGGAAAGAACCTGGGTTGCCGTGTGCAAAGCAATTGTCCTCCCTGCTGCATTATGGCTCTGGTCCCTCACATTTACTCCAACCAGCTTGGTGGAGGGGGGTGGGGGCTGGTGCCCAGAGCTGTTCTCCGAATTATGTGCCAATGCTTTTCAGGCCTGTTTATCAATCCCCTTTAGACAATCAGCCACACATGATCACGATCTGTGGCTCCTTTTATTCTATGCCTAGTCCATAGTAAAATGAGGCATGTATACATGGTGAATGAATAAACAAACATCAAAAATAATGCTTTAAGCAGTTCAGCAGTCAAGGATGAAAATGAAAAAATCTTCAGGGAGAAAAAGCTTAGGAAGAAGGAAATAATAAATTAGCTTATCAAGGACACATACACATGTGTTTCTTAGCCATCTGTAATTGCTATTAGTCAAGGAAAATTAAAATAATGAAACATAAAGAGGACCAAATACTGTCTTGTAAAAGAAATACCAATTCTTTTCTCAATTACTAATGTGCAATAGCACTCAGGAGGGAAGGGAAATAAATGCGGCTATAAAATAACACTTGTGTCTATTTCTACTCTACCAAGCCTGAAACACCAATAGATTTGCAATATTTTGCTCAATAAGACCTTTGTTTTATGAAAGAAATTTTGATTTTGCCAAGGTCCCTTCTCTCATCTTACTCACTTATTCATACCTCACAGAGTTCCCAAAGGAAAGGGTAGATATGACAGTTTTCATTAAATAAATAAGGAAATTGAAGCAGGTAGAGGTTAAAAAGAATTTTGGACTTCCTAAATTCTATTGCCATGTTCTTTTATATTAGAATAAAAAAAATTATTGGGTTATTACATTTTGGCAACAGGGCATAAAGACTGTGGTAACCTTATCAATATGAGGAAATTTCTTAGATTAACTATAGCACTATGTTTCCATTTTCTCTTTTTCTTTCTATGAAAACTAAATCCACCCCTTATTCTTTTTTTTTTTAAATTTTTATTAGTGAGACACCATGAGGTACATTTGTAGACATCCAAATTTTTCCACCCCTTATTCCTAATTAGTGAATCACCTAGTCACTTTTCATTAAGACATTGGGGAGAATGGTTGTTTTTAATTGACTATAGTTAATCTTTAGTGGGCTGGAGTGATAGCACAGTGGGTAGGGCATTTGCCTTGCACACGGCCAACCTGGGTTCAATTCCTCCACCCCTCTTGGAGGGCCCGGCAAGCTACCGAGAGTATCTCCCCTGCACAGCAAAGCCTGGCAAGCTCTCCGTGACATATTCAATATACCAAAAAACAGTAACAAGTCTCACAGTTTGTTGTGAGACGTTACTGGTGCCTGCTCAAGCAAATCGATGAACATGGGGAGGACAGTGCTGCAGTGCTATAGTTGATCGTCGATTTTCTCGAGCGGGCCCAGTAACGTCTCCATTGGAGACTTTGTTGTTACTGTGTCTGGCATATCCAATACTCTCGGTAGCTTGCCGGGCTCTCCGAGAGGGGCGGAGGAATCGAACTCGGGTCGGCCATGTTGGCCGCGTGTAAGGCGAACGCCCTACCCACTGTGCTATCGCTCCAGCCCACTAAAGATTAACTATAGTCAATTAAAAACAACCATTCTCCCCAATGTCTTAATGAAAAGTGACTAGGTGATTCACTAATTAGGAATAAGGGGTGGAAAAATTTGGATGTCTACAAATGTACCTCATGGTGTCTCACTAATAAAAATTAAAAAAAAAAGAATAAGGGGTGGATTTAGTTTTCATAGAAAGAAAAAGAGAAAATGGAAACATAGTGAAGGGAGGTAAAATTCCCAACTATGCCTGAGTTGGGGACTTTTGCGACCATTCATGTACTGATTCGGTAAATACCAATTTGACATAGTTAATGCCAGGCATATTCTGGCTGAAAGAAAACAAGAGGCCAGGGAACAACACAAGCAAAGTAGTTCCACTTCCTGTCACATACAACTTATAGGGACAGAGGGGCAAGAAAGAAAGAGAATAGGGACAGGGAATCCCCACAAGGTGGAGGCAGAGTTTCTGAGTGACCAGAGCAAATCATGGAGCAGCATGGGCAAATCATTCTTCGAGCACTCACTTTGGGTGGGGGAGAAGGATGAGAGGTTCATTTTTGCATTTGCTGTTGGATTAGCATTCTACCTTCCATGAGCATGCCACATACAGTTGACATCAGCCATTGGCCGGTCACTCTTAAACCTCAAGTACACTCGAGTTCCTGGCCACGAGAAACTCCAGTCTCGTGGTTTTTACAGTTCCACAGCATTTCCAGATGCCCAGTCTGGGGAGGCTTAGATAGCTTTACCATCCAAAGCCACTGACTTGGATCAAAAGGCAAAAAAATATCCTATTAAAGTGAACCAGTCAATGACGCAATTTACTACATCAATGGCAGAAAAGAAGCATTTTTTGATTTCACATCTCAGAATTGGTAAATGATGAATGAGTCTCACAGACTGAACCTAAAGGCCAGGAGAGGAGTGTTTCCAACATGCTGGAAACCAATTATATGACAGAAGCAGGAAATGTTTAAAAAACACATCAAAAATTATATTCCAATTATAGCATATTCGGGGATGAATGCCATGGGTCAGATTACATATTATACATTACAGGGTCTCATTTACAATCCCTCCGTTTAGATGCATTGAAGGTTTATAGAGATGATTTCCGTTGTAACTGAAGCATTTCTTGTACTTAACTTCAGTTGACTAATAAAACTTCTTGATAAAAAAGGAAAACAACCCAGCTAGTTGGTCTCAGTTTCCATGTGGTAAGAATACTAACATTTATTGGCAAATTACTATGTGTGAGTCAGTATGGTAAATGATTTGCATTAATATAAAAAATAAGTACAGTATTCCTTTGAGATGGTCCTGGCCTTTTCAAAGAAAAGAACTGCTTTACTACTGAAAATCAAAACTTTAAAAATGTGTGATTAGAAAAAAAATTATTGACTTAGGTTCCAAAAATGAAGCTTTAAAAGTATGTCTTCTAAAGCATAAAATTCGTTACATAAACCCCCAGAGGCAGAGTTCAGCACTGGCACACATCTTTCTCACTTCAAGAAACTGCTCCCTGCGTAGGCTTTTCTTTCTTTAAGCAAAGATTGGCAACTGTGGCTTGCAAACCAAATCCAACTAGCTACCTGTTTTGGCAGGGTCCATGAGCTATGAATAAGAATAGCTTTTAAATAGTTTTAATTCTTAAAAAATTAAAAGGACGCTTATAGTTCATGAGACATAAGAGTCACATAAAATAAAAATTTCAGCATTCATAAATAAAGTTCCACTGGAATAGTGTCATGCTCATCTATACCCTCACTTCATGATGACAGAGTTGAGTGGCTGTAACAGAGACCATATGATCCTTGAAACCCCAAATATTTATTTTCTGGCCCTTTCTTGGAAAAGTTTGCTGACCTCTGCTTCCAAGGAAAATGAATAAAGTTTTATAGGACTTTTTTTAGGTGGGGGCTTTACATTTTTGACTCTGAATAATCAAGGTATTTTCTTGGTCCCTTTAGGTGTTAGTATCTGTGGGCCATGGGTGATTGTCACAGGATGCTTAAATCTAACAGAATATAATATGAGTCTATTCAAGGGATCCCTCTAGGGGTCACCTTAGATCCCAGGGGATATGTGGCAAAGTCTGAAGAAAGGTTTGGTTGTTTCAAATCAAAACGCCCTAGTATCCTGGGGGAAGAGGCCAGGAATGTGCCGGGAATGTGCTGACCCTTCTACCCTTCTATTGCCTACCCCCCCCCCACCCCCGGCCTGACTCCTCACCCCAAGAAGAAAGATGTCAGAGTCCTGAGGCTGAAAAACCTGCTATATGGAAACAGAGAATCCACCTTAATCGCTTGGATGCTCCCCAAATACAAACACAGTTGGGACTTGGTAACATTAATTTATTCCTATCACCCACGCCATATTTATATTAATATTTATAAGCACAAGAAAATTTTCCTTATTTTATGAGCATTTTTATGACAAACCATTATCCATCTGTACAGTAATGATTGTCTAAGTAGAATACTTTTATTCTCAACTATAAGCCTAAATGGGTAACTTTTTTGGTGCAGGGTGAGGGTTGGGTCACCCCCAGCGGGCCACACACATACTCCTGGCAGGGCTCAGGGAACTGTATGGGGTGCCATTAATTGAACCTGGGTCATCCACATGCAAGATATGTGCCCTACCCACTGTACAATCACTCCTGCCCCCTACATGGATACATTTTTTAATCACTCAACTAATGAATTTAAGCTGAAATCTGATCATTTCTATTTTCAGTTTCTTAAGAATTTCTCATTGATTCCTATACGTAGTTCATGTGAAATAAAATAGCCTTCCGATGTCAGAGATGAATCCAAACAAAAGTAATTATGCATTGGAGAGAAAAGACAGGAGTTAGAAAAATTAACCACAAGACACCAGCATTATACAGGCTTAAAAGACCAAAAGATGTCAATAACAAAGACTGACAAAAATATCTAAATTTAGTAGATTCGTGTTGATGCATACTTCCAAGCTTGCATCAGCAACCTTAAAACAAGTGAGATAAACGTATTATCAAACTATGTCCCCTCCCAACCCTTTGTCATATTCTTTTTTTTAAATCTGGGACAAATAAAATCACTTTAGGAACTCTCTCTGCATTTTCACATATATGGTGCTTCTGCATATGACTGTCCATTTGCACATGAGTAAGTGTCTTTATTTCTTGAAAACCCATTTCTGGAAGCATAGTTAAACATTTTCTAGAACATGTGACACATCATTTTTCTTTAACATATTTAAATTAATAACTATGAGTTGATGAAGTAATCACCTTATCCAAATTAAACTTTTCTGTGTATTTTTATTGTAGAGAGCTTTGGGAGTTGTATCTGATGGTGCTCAAGGTTCGCCGCTGGTTCTATGCTCAGGAATCACTTCTGGTGGTGCTTGGGGAAACACATTAGTTGCTAGGGATCAAACTTGACTTACTCCTTACTCCCTGTACTATCTCTCTGGTCCCTCAGAGTATTTCTTTCTTTCTTTCTTTCTTTTTTTAATTTTATTGAATCACCGTGAGATAGTTACAAGCTTTCTCCTCAAGTGTATTTCTAAATCTTATAGAATGCTTTCTGATTTTATCACCATTAAGCTAGCTAACTCCTCAGCTCATCTTTCAAAACTCCACACATGGAATATCTCCTGCTTATACACACACACACACACCGTTTGCAGAATATCTCCCACTCACACACACACCCCGTTTTGCTTGATGATACTGTACCTTTTCACCTGGGTCTCCTTTGGGGCCACTCTCTCCAGCATCTCCCTAAGGTGGGGTGTTGGGGGAGAAGCAACATAGAGGTAGCAGTTAGCAAGAGGACATGTCATGATTTTACGATTTTCTTTGTTCTGCATTATTATCCAAGTCTGTTACAAGTGTTCTATAGAACCATGTCTTTGCGTGACCAGTGGCCTGCTTTGCTGGTCCAAATGCCCTTATAACAGAACAAACGTGGATAGGCAGTAAATTCCCTTGTAACAGAACAAACACGGCCAGGCAGTAATTTTACTTCATGGTGCCCATCAAAAGCTGCAGTTTTTCTTTTTCCTTTCTCTCTATTTTGCTCTCTCTCTCTTTTTTTTTAATTTAATTTTTATTTTTTTGCTTTTTGGGTCACACCCGGCAATGCTCAGCGGCTACTCCTGGCTCTGCACTCAGGAATTACTCCTGGAGGTGCTTGGTGAACAGTATGGGATGCTGGGGATCAAACCCAGTTGGCCGCATGCAAGGCAAACACCCTCCCTGCTGTACTATCGTCCTGGCCCCAAGCTGTAGTTTTTCTGACTTCCTTTTTTATCCCCCTTGGGCCACATCCAGCAATGCTCAGGGCTTACTCCTGGCTCTGTGCTTAGGAATTACTCTGGACAATGCTCAGGGGACCCTATGGGATTCCAGGAATTGAACCCAGGCCAGCCTTATGCAATCAAGCACCTTCCCCGCTACACAATTGTGCTGACCCCTCTCTGGCTTCATAATGACAGACTCTAGCAGGAACCGGGCCTTCTTACTCTCCTGCTTCTCAGCAATGAACCAACAGGCTGCTTCTCCCCCCTACTCTCTGGCATACCAAGCATCCGTGTCCTTCCTCAGCCTGCCTGCCTCGGACCATTGCTGTTCTCCCTCCTGCTTTAGGTATCAAATGCATTGCCCAACCATCTCCATGACCCCAAAGTCCATCAATATGGCCTTTATGAATCACACACTGAATTGCTGCAGATTCTGTAGTAATGAAATCAACACTCTACGTTTCATTAAGAAAATTTCTTTTTTAAGAATCACCAATAAAGTGGGCAGGAGGGGGCTGGGAATTTATGTTTCTTTGATTTTTTTCCCCAAGATTTCCCAAACCTGTTCCTTTACTGACATTTTTCTACCCATGAAGTAACGCATTAGGAGACAAGTCATTTGCTTATCCTTATGCTTAAACATTTCCTTATGTTCTGCTTCCTTAAATGCAGAATTCATTTAGTCGGAGAGCATGACATAGGGCAAATGTTGTGGACTTTGGAGCCAGAGAAATGAAGCCCAGTCTGACTGCTACTGGGCAAAAGACATTCTTTTTGCATGTGATTTTTATGGGGGAAAAAGAAAGCAACAATATCGGTGATATCAGGTGTGTAAAACCACGAGGACTATCTTGCCACATCCTGAGCTGTCAGGACAGCCTGTAGGGTCAGTCCTTTCTGAGGGCAGGACATGTTATGAGAGGCACTTTACTATAATCACCAATTTATTGAAAAAAAAAGAGGGAAATTATTGGTAACGGTTCTTACTGCTTCTTTAGGAGAGAGAGAGAGAGAGAGAGAGAGAGAGAGAGAGAGAGAGAGAGAGAGACAGGCAGAGAAACAGACAGTCAGACAGACAGACAGGCACTCTTTTATCCCCTTTCCCTTTTCTTTCACCCAACCAGCACAAAGCACATCTGCCCAGCGTTTGTCTCTAATGGACACATCACAGCTGTCTCTCTGTCTGATGCAGCCCGGCTGGGGCAGGCTCTGCTCCTTGCTTGCTGTCTGAATGTCTCCACAAGAGAATCATCTGATGACTAATTAATTTCCAGCTAATTACCATCAACTGGTTGGCTGCCAAATAATGCACTGAAGATCTGCCATGTAGGAGATCTTTGATGGCAGCCTATTAGCATTCTTATTAAAGATACTTGACAGTTGCCTTCTTGGGACTGCAAACACATTTTCTTAATGGACTACTGGCTCAGAGTGGCCCTGAAGTGGCCTTTTGATGCGTGTCTCCTCTATGTGATTCTCCTTCCACCTCTTTTTATTGGGGGGGGTATGCCTTTTAACTGGGTGGCCACATCCAGCGATGCTCAGGGGCCACTCCTGCCTCTCCATCCATTCCAACAAGTGTCCTTTTATTTAATAATTCTGAAAGTGAAGATACATGTAAAAGAATGACTGGACCTTTACAGGTCCTTCCAGCTGAGGGTGGGGATTCTCAGGGACCGTCTTCCTCACCAAGAGCATTAGGGAACATGTTGCAGGTTTCTTTGCAGACATAATTAAAGTGAAGACAGAAGGACCAGGAAAACAGATACCACAGCATACAGCAAGAATCCTAAAATCATCAGAATATGCTGGCAAAGTCACAAAGGAGGGTGCTAACAGAGAAATCCAGCATATCCTCCACCTGTCTGAGATGTTCACGGGGATTCTCAATATACAGAGGCAGGCAAGCCCCAGCCTCACTTCAATCTCATGAGCTGAGATGCAGCAGAGAATACTTAGAAAGGCAGAGAGCAGCATTTGTAAGGAGGCAGAGAAGATATTTTGCAGGTGAGGGGTTTTTGAAAGCCATTGATGGGCACATAGAGGTATCTAAATTTACTTCCTCTCTCCATCTCTTTACATGCTTTTATCCAAATTTCTGTTCATTCATAAGAACACAATCTTTTCTCCTGATTCTATCAAGCAGTTTGAAAAAGACCCTGGCATTTTTATACCCTCGATTTTTCCATTTGTAAATATGTGCACTTCACTTGGGTCTCCTTTGAGCAGGGGGAGAAAGAGATAAGGACAAGTGGGTTATTCTTACCTTTTCGCCTCTTTCTCCAGGTTCTCCCTAGGCAAAAGAACAGAGACTGAATGATACAGGAAATTTAAAGACATGCCATAAAGTGACACCAAACAAAACCAGATATTGAACCTCGTCAGTGAATCATTTGTAACACTTCCGGTTTGGGACAATCGGTATGTTCTGATGAGGCTTCTGGACAACGGAGCATGAATATCAAATGTACTTTTAATTCTTTGCTTTCAGAGAACAGGAGACAGACACACCGCTGCCCCGCCAGACACTGAGGAGGACAATGGAGCAGCAATTCAATGCTTGAAAGGATCTTTTCATCTATGGCTTTTTATTCTGCTCAAACTCACAGTCAGTAAACCTGGCTCGTGGATGTCTCCGACTCATTCAAAGTGCGAATTAGTATAGCAAGGATTACTCCAGGGGCCCGGTTTAATGTCCCACTCAGTCTGCCCCTAACACAACCATAAACACTCAGCCCTCAAGTGGAACCTCTTCACAAGGATGTTCTTTAGCCTGCGGTCAGCAGCATGATTGAAACGGTGTCTCTTAGGAGACATCCATGTCTTCAGGAAAGATGCCAGCAAGTTGCAGCATCAGAGACTCCCAGAGAGTCTCCCAGTTCACACGCTGACAGAACAGTCTGAGGGCTGAAGCACCTCATCATGCTGGAAAGAGCCTCTCCATTCACTTGAGCCCAGGATGGGACAGGAATGAAGGGAATGGTGATGGAGGCAAAGTTACACCCATGATGCCAACATTCCTTTCAGGAAAAGTTCACCAGGATGCTTTAAACAAGGTTTATAGGGATCATTTGTTTTGGGGGGTCACCCCTAGCGAAGCTCAGGGGTTACTCCTGACTCTGTACTCCTGGCAGTGCTGAGGGGAACCATATGAGATGCCAGGGATCAAGCCCGGGTGTGCTCTGTGCAAGGAAAACGCCCTACCTGCTATACTATCACTCTGGCCACTAGACCACTAGAAGGATCCTTTTTTTTAAAAATTACATCCAGTCTGGACATTAGATAGGAGGCAAGACAATTTTGTTTCCTGAATCTGGGATTTCTGAATTTCTGTCCATTTTTCGCTGCTCCACATCACTCCGGATGGTCGCTAGGCAACAGAAGAACGGCACTGAGAACCTGCTGGAAGCAATTCATCCTTACCATACTGAGCAAGAGGATGAAAATGACAGGGGAATAGAGCCCCAGAAGGAATATTTCCTTTCCCCTCCTGCAGGACAAACGGCGGGTCTATAAATTTGAGGTCCATCCCAGCGCATGTTAATAGCAAGTGATCTGAGAAATCAGCTGACAGGCACATGTGGGGGTGGACACACACCAGCACAGCTGACGGGATTAGACACAAGTTCTGGACTTCAAGGGGTGTTCCCTCATCAAAGGACTTGGGATTTGTCTGCCTGTTTGGCCGAAACAAAACTGTCACCGATCTTTTTATGTTTCAAATTCATTTGTTCTCCAAGAAACAAAGAAAACTCGCCGTCTTTAGGGCATATTTTCTCTCTTTAGTTATTCAGACAATATCCATTTAAAAACCTTAAGCATGTCATAGTTTGGTCCCACTCTTCACTTGATTAACCATGTGGTGTTGTGTAAGGGTCGAGGTGGTCAGCTCTGGAGGAAAAGCCACAGTGATATAATCTACGGTATGACATCACAGGGAGATAGTTTTAACCTGCCCATTGAGTGCTCAATGACAAGAGCCATTGGCTTTTTCAGTGTCATAAGACTTTAGACAGTCACAGACACAGATTTTTAAAGGGAATGGTTATTGTGAACATGATTTATCCATGAGTTACAAAGCTCCTTCCTGTGGCATCCTAGACTATCAACAAAGAAACTCCTTCCAAATTCAACTAGTGGAGCTGAACAGAAAGAAGAGGGTGAAGGAGCTTCCCTGGAAGAGAACTAACCCCAGTTCCATTCTTGTTGCTGCCAGGAGCAACCTCTGAGCACAGAGCTGAAAGGAGCCCCAAGCTTTCCCGGATATGGCTCAATCCCTACTCCTATCCCTCAAATAATACTTCCAGTATGACCCAGTGGATAAAAAAAGAAAGCTAAATAGCTAATAATTGTTTGGAAAACCATGTCTCAAAGGGTTCTGCTTGGTTTAACTTGTACTTACTTTTAGCCCAGGAGTTCCACCCTGTCCTTCTGCTCCGGGCAACCCAGCTTCACCCTAAAGCAAAAGAGAAGAGAATATTAAATAAAATCAATAAGATCAATGTACTCTGTAGATTATTAGAGGATAACACAATTCAACAATGCACTAGAAGCAGAGAGAAAACAAGTCACTATTAGTGGAAATACAAGTGAGTGTAAATACAGAATTCAATGTGCCAGGAACATGCGTATGACATTATTGATTTTACTTTCTGTAAGAAAGAAAAATCTTTTACTTTTTTAAGAAAGTTGAGTGTAAGGCAAGCATCCTACTCACTGTGGTTTTGCTCTGGTCCCCGTAGCTAACATTTTACCTCAGAATCTGATGACAGAGTTTGTGTTTTAATACTATATGATGCATTGCTTAATTTATTCATTGCTTAATGAATAAATGCTTCCAGGATAGAGGAAAGTAGATGATGAATATTTCTATCCTCATAAGTATTTCTACCAGTACATTTATATTCTCCATTTATGAATGATCTTCCAGAATGTCTAGAAACCTAAATTAAATTTAGCTAACATAATTTATGTACATTTAACAAATAAAATAATATATAGCTATGATATCATTCTGGAATGTAAAAATTTTTGCTGTTATATTGGATTATTGTAATTGTCTTAACCTTCTTCAAGAACTCTTTTGTGGTTTTTGTTTTGGGGCCACATCTGGGCCACATCAGGGCTTCTCCTTACTCTGCACTCAGGAATTAACCCTGTGGTGCTCAGGGGACAATATGGGATGCCGAGGGTCAAACCAGGTTGGTTGTATACAAGGCAAGTGCCCTACCTACTGTACTATCTATCTCTCCAGCCCCACCTTCAAGAACTTCTTGTGTATATATATAAACACACACATATACATATATATTACACTTCCTATAAACAGCTACATTATAACTGTAACTCTTGTCTTTTCCTTGGTCCAGTTTCCTTGGAAAACTGTTCACTTAGAATAATGATAGTCATTATAAGGAAATCTTGATATCCCATTTATACATAGCAAAGAGTAAGGGCTTGGAAACAATACACCCCAAAAAGGACTATTTTTACTGTGTAACGAGTGAAAAATCTATCGAGTCTGCTTGCTTCAAAGAAAGTACAGCAGGATGCACTAATATCATAACTCACGGTTTAATGCAAACAAGACATGCTGCCAGGGAACAATACAAACTTTGTTTAGACTTGCAAAGAACAACCATGGTAGCCAAAATTATTTTATAAAAAATGGTTAAGCCTCAGGATCCAGACGACATACTGAGATTTTGAAGTAAGGAAGAGAAATGCCACTTAGGTATCTGCATAACATTGTACATAATATATGAACATCCGGGGATTGGAGGTGGAGCCCTATTAGACCTTACATTTTGTTTAAATACTCTTAACGTGAACAGAAAAAAAAAACACAACAATATCACACTCACAAGCCTGTCACACCATAACAACTGCTTTTATTTTGCACTGTTCCCTTCTGGCGTTCTAAATTTATGGTGACAATTTTTCAAGCAATTGCAGACTGATCACATGGTTTGATTTTTGAATTTTTATGATTTCTACCCCACATCTGTTTTCACGCAGAACTCGTGAGTGCCTTTGAACAGTCTGCTGATTTGTTTAATCTGTCCCAAATTGTTGAATACTAAGGTTGTTTCCAACTTTTGCTATCAGAGTTGAACTCAAATCAATACCTTTGTAAATATGTCTATGTTTCTTTTCTAAAGGGCCCAGGACTTTTTGTGTTAAATCCTAGTTTTGGTCACATGGATACATTTTTTAAAAAATAGATTTCTTATCTTGTTAAATTTAATTATTCTAGTTTAGGTTACATGTTTACAATAGTGTTAACTTTTTGTTTGTTTGTTTTTTTTTTTGCTTTTGGGTCACACTCAGCGAAGATCAGGGGTTCTTCCTGGCTCTGCACTCTGGAATTACTCGTGGCAGTGCTTGGGGAACCATATTGGATGCCGGGGATCGAACCCACATCAGTCATGCAAGGCAAACACCCTGCCCGCTATACTACTGCTCCATTCCCAATAGTGTTAACTGTGATATGAGTTCTTACACATCACCACCACGCTGGACCCTCCACCACTATCCTTATAGACTTCTAGTCATCCTCTCCCTCATCTACCCTCCACTGCTTGGTAATCTAAATTCTGCAATCCAAAGGATCAGAGCTCCTCCTACTTGTTCCCAGTGACTTTTCCTATAGTTTCAGCACTGGGTATTGTCACTCTTATCTTTGTGGCTGTTCAAATGAGCACAAATGGAATTCACTAATTCGGTAAGTTTTAACTTAGTTACTCTAAAGCCTAAATAGGTTTTCCCATGTTTATCACCGAGATTAGTGTCCTGCAAAATTTTAAAGAGGAAATGCAAAGGAAGCTGCTTTCCAAATGAATCAAGGGAAGATGAAAAGAAGGAAAAGTTACTCATGGCTTTCAAATAAGTTTTATCGAGAGAAATGGACTCCAATTTAGATTAAGAGACTGCAGAGCATTTTTCATTGTTCAAACCGAGTCTCCAGATCATGTGAAAGGAATGTTCGAGAGAAAATGCCTGCGGCTCTGAGTGCCAAGGCTAGCCAGTGGAGTTTGGGCTGCTGTTAAATCATCCAACACTTAGCAAAAATTCACTATATGCTTTGCTCTGGGCTGAAATTTTCATGGGACCTCAAGTTAAAATAAACCAAATGAGCACCTGAACCCAAATAGCTAATTTTTGAGTGAAAGAAGAGATACATGTAAATAACTCAAGACTTTAATTGAGGCACAACTTTTTTTGCATCCTTTACTTGTATTTCATGAAGAAGACATGATAAATCAAAGTCAAAGAAATGTCTCGATGAAGAATGAATCATATGTTATATCATATATTAATATGTTATAGTATATGAAGAGAAAATATTATCATGGGGTTGTTTTTTGAGCAAAGTTACAGGGATATATATTACTAGATAATATGGTAAAAGTGTGTACATGTGCAGAAAATATGTCCAAAAAATAAAGGCAAACAAAAAAGGTGCAGACAGGGGCCAGAGAGAGATATAGAGATATCAAAGATTGGAAGCATGTTCTGCATGCAGGAAGCCTGGGTTTGATACCTGGCACAATATGGTCCCCCTAGCGCTGCAGGGATTGTACCCTGAGCACAGAGCCAGGAGTAGTGCTGGCAACACTGGGTGTAGTCCAAACCCTCTCCTCACAGAGGGGGATGGTGTGTTTGAATGTGTCTGTGTGCTTGTGCATGTGTACGTGTGCGTGTACATGTTTGTGTGCAGGCGCTTGTGCATTTGTGCATGTGCATATGCTTGTGCATGTGTGCATGTATGCACGTGTGCTCGTGCGTGTGCATGTGTGTATACTTGTGTGTGTGCATGTGCTTGTGCATGTGTGTGAGTGTGCTTTTGCTTGTGCGCTTGTGCATGTGTGTGCATGTGTGTGCATACTTGCACATGGGTGCGTGTGCTTGTGCATGGGTGTATGTGTGTGCATGGGTTTGTGCACATGTGTGTGCATGTGCTAGTGCATGAGTGTGTACATGTGCTTGTATGTGCATGTATGTGTGCATATACTTCTGTGTGTGCATGTGCTTGTCCATGTGTGTGCATGAGTGTGCATGTGCGTATGCATGTGTGTGCCTGTGCAGGTGTGTGGGTGTGCATGAATGCACGTGTGCTTGTGTGTGTGTGCTTGAGCATGTGTGTGCATGTGCTTGTGTGTGTGCACACATGTGCTTGTGTGTGTGCTTGTGTGTGTACATGTGTGTGTTTGTGTGTATGTGCATGTGTGTGCATACGGATGTGTGTGTGCGTGTGCGCGTGTGTGTGCGTGTGCACATGTGTGTGTTTCGGGCTGATACAGTTGCTGGGTAATCTGTCCACTGACCTGAGTGCATTTCACATTCACGAGCAGAGAGTACAGTTCAGAGCCAGGGAGGAAGAGAAGCGGCAGCTGCCGTCTCCAATCTAGGTAGACTCAGGGGGGTTCGCTACTACACTTTAAATTCTAAGGCGGATCCTGGTCTATTGCTCCCAAATGACAATTTGTATATTTAGACTAAAAATAGGCACAAGTGATTTTTTAAAAGTATGGATTGCTGCATTCTTTTCTTTCTTCTTTAAACAGCTGAATCCTCTGTAGGATCCTAATGGAAAACACTATTCAAGGCTTTTACAATTAGTTCAGGTACTGCTATCCAGAGGCGACTGGAACGAAGACTTAAAGGGACACAGTTTGGTGAGGAAATTGAGTGCAAAAGGGAAATAGATTCCGGGTAGTTCGCTTCTCCCAGGACCCCATCACTGCCATTTTCCCTTCTCGCAGGGGGAACTTAAAAATCAGTAAGTGTCTTATGTTTTTAGCATAATATAATTTTACGATCACCTTGTCAAGATCCTGCATTTTCAGAGTTAACTCATCCAAACAAGAGGAGAGGACCTGGGAGCAGCTTGGAGCAGCCGCCATGGGCCAGCAACACTGAACAGCAGCCTGTGGTACCTGCGTGCCAGTGACCAAGTCTCGAGCTGAAGCTGGCAGGGTTGGTGACAAAGGCTGCCCTCAAATGCTAGCAAGCAGGGCTTTTCCATGACCCATCAGCAGAAGGTGGATTGAGGTGTGGGAGTATGACCCAGCTATCATGAAGGATGCATTCTTGCCATTTGCTACAGTCTGGATGGAGCAAGACAGGGCATGATGCCAAGTGAAGCAGTCAGAGGAAGAAAGACAAAAACGATCTCCTTGAGATGCAGGGTATGGAGAATCAAAGCGGAGTGGGGGGAATCCTGAGAAAATATACCCATGGCTTCTGACTGCAGACCTCAGGCTAGCAAAGAGTGGGTAGGGGAGACAACACTGGTATTTGGGTAAAGGGATAGTGTGGACATGCATGCTTTGAGGAAGTGCATCCTTGTGCTCAAAACACACACAGTATTCTAAATCAATATTTGCTTCATTTACAAAGCATGTTTGAGCTCAGTTTTCTGTACTGTAGATGTAGACAGAGACATACAAAATA